GCCAAGCCTCCTGCGGCCTGGAGTCCTCCTGGGGCCTCCCCGCACCGCCATGCCAGGCTTCACAGCCTGGGGGCAGCCCGGGGACCAGGCAGGGCTGGAGGTCAGACGGGGGCAGAACACCCCCCACTCCCCGCCTGCACCCTCCCCCACCTCCTTTCTCAGAGCTAAAGCCCGTTTCCTTGAGCTGCTGGCCTTGGCCACAGCGGCCCCACTGCAGCCCAGCCAGGTTTCCCCCCGACCCGGCCCGCCTGACGTGCCCCTCGGCCCTGGCAGCCACCCCAGATGCCTGCAGCACGACTGGGAATCCTGCAGGGACAGAGGCCAGCTCCGGCCAGGGGGAGTGCACTGTCCGGGGGGAGATGGAGGCGTCCAGGGGACTGAGTCCACCCAGTCTAGACCTCAGGATACAGAGCCCCCGCCTCGTCTGGAGCAGGCCATCCAGTACAGCGGGAGAACCGGGACACAGATCACCAGGAAGATGGGTGACAGTCTTCCAAGCAGGGAGACAGGCAGAGGGGCAGTCAGACTGTGATGCTGCAATACCCCATTTCAGGGTCACTTACTCTGCACCTGATGGATGTTACCTGGTTGACCCTCAGAGCCACCCAAGGGAGGTTGAGACTGTGCCTATTCATGTGGTTGATTTCAGTTCCCAAGGACACCACCAGGTGGCCTGATCTCAGAGCACTCGCCCCAAGCTATGCACCCAGGACCCCACAGGTGCCAGGCTGGTGCCGTCCCTGCCGAGGGGCCACCCTGACCCTGGACATGTGGCCGGAAGCCTCCCCTCCAGACCCTGGTCACTCAGCACACACGACCCTCCCTTGAAGGTCATCCATTCCATTCCTTACTTGACAAGCGGGGAAACTGAGTCCCCCAGGAAATGGCCACAGCGCTTGGCCTTGAACCAGGTGTCCACCCCTTCTCTGGCCTTAGGACAGCTGACCGAGTGGGACCCAGAGGCTGGGGTGCTGCTGAGCTGGGGAGGGTCGTGCCGGGCAGTGGCTGTGGTTGACCTGGAGTCTGGCGCCTGGCTGAGGGTGAGGAGTATGTGTGTGCGCTGACCCTCCGGGGGCTGGTGGGGTCGGGGGAGGGTCCCAGGACAGAGCCCTGGGGCAAACCCTCTTGGGATGGTCACTGCTCTGCCCTTGCGGGGCTCCCACCAGCGTTGCGCCCTCGGTGCTGGTCACCGGGGGCCACGTGGCACCGTGTACACAGCACCGGGAAGGTCACCTCTCGGCCACCCGGAAGGCCCTGCTAGTCCACCCTCTCCTCAAGCACGTGGACAAACAGAGGAGCTACCGGCCGGCGAGCACCACAGGCCTAGACCCCAGCACCCCTGCCCTTTGCCTGACAGCCCGACTGCAGCCCCCACAGGGCTCTTCCCAGGAGGAACTGCCCCTGGAAACCGGGGGGAGCCTACTCCTGAGCCTCGCTGGGCCCAGCCAGGCCGGCCCACACTCGCCTCCCCCAGGCCCGACCAGAGAGGGGGCTGGGAAGCCGGCACAGCGCCCAGCCCCTCTGACACAGAGGGCACCCCAGCTTCCTGCCTGCAAGGTCTGTGCCTCCTGGTGCCTGGGAGATGTATGTAAGCCTGGCCACGCCGTGGCCCCCTCCACCAAGGGTGCAGAGGCAAACAGCGGCCTGGGCACCTGCTGGTGATCTGCGTGCAAGCGCCCAGAGTGCTGCCACCCGGCCCCGAGGGGCAGCCCTCTCGCCCACGCGCCCCAGGCTCAGTGGGGACCTGAGCTCACGCTGGTGGCGGGGGTGGGGGGAAGGGTGGGGATGTGGGGCAGGCGGCCTAGCGAAGTGGAGATTTTGAGGATGAGGGGTGCTGGGAGGGTGGCACGAAACCCATCCGGGGTCTCTCCGCCTGGGGGGGGGAGCCCGGCAGACCGTACCTGGGGGCGCACTGGCCGTCGTCGAACACGAAGGTCCGGTTGGTGTGGCCCCCGCCGCGCGCCGCCCTGCAAACATCCCCGGGACTGTGCACCCCGTCGGGAAGCGGCATTGGGCTGGCGGCGGCTGCGACTGGGAGGCAAGGGACACAGCGGGAGCGACAGCAGACTTCTCCTCCACCCCCCTCCCCGCGCTGTGCCCTGAAACACTTCTCTGATTTCGGTGGGGGTGGGAAAAAAAAAACTCCTGTTCCAGGGAAGGTTTCGACGCCGGTGCGGGCGCGCCCCCTGCCGGCCACGCCGGGAACCGCGCGAGGGAGGGGGCGGTGGTCCCTCCGCGTCCCACCTGCGGACCAGCCTCCGAGGTCCCGCGTAATCCTGAGACCCTGGGCACAGGCTCTTCAAAAGCTAAAAAAAAACCACATGTAAATCCATGGCTGATTCATGTCAATGCACGGCAAAAACCACTAAAATATTGTAAAGTAATTAGCCTCCAACAAATAAAAATAAATGAAAAAAAAGCTAAAAAAAAAACCCCAAAGACTACTCCCCCCGGGGGGGCAGGGTTACACAGTGGGAGGCACTCCGAGGGGGCTGGGGGCCTCTGCACGCTTCATGGGTGAGGGCGCCTGCGCGGCTGACCCTGCCCGGCTCTGGGGCAGGAGGGGCGGCCAGTCAGCGTCTGACCCGGCCCTCCGCCCCCCTGCCCCACGGCACAGTTCACTCCTGCAGACACCAGCACACAGACCCCATGTGTCCATCCGCATCGGCCTCACCCCTGGGAGGCCCCTGGGCGTGAAGAGGGAAGTGAGGTGAGAGCGCGGGAGGCGGGAGTGAGTGCTCCCCCCACACCCCACCGGGGCCTCTGCCATGAGCCCCAGCCCCACGACCCAAGGGAAGGTGCCCAGGAAGCAGAGGGATTGACTGGTGACACCCGCCACAGGCTAACACGGACATCCTGGCTCAGGGCTCCCCCCCACGCCCCCCGCCCCCACGCAGAGTCCTGCAGGTAGAACCCCCGTCTGTCCCAACCCTCAGTGAAACGGAAGCACGGCGGAGAAGCAGAGAGAGAGNCCTGCCCCCCCCCCCCCCCCCCCACCATGGGCGCCTGCACACTCACAGCCAACGTTCTCTGTGGGGTCTACTCCAGCACCGCCCTCCCTTGGGCACCGGGAACCCTCCCAGGGCACGGAGTCTGGCTTCTCCTCACACCTCCCGTAAACGCTGGGCCCTAGGTGCTAGCAGAACCGACTGTCCCCAGCCTTTCTTGGGTTCAGCCCAGAAGCCGGGCTGTGGGCTGAGCGTGACCAGGCAGCGGGGGCCCCCCGAGCCCCTTCTTCTGTCAGGAGAGCTGGCCTGGTTCCCAGGCCTGGGTCTCCCTGCTCCCAGACTTGATCCCAGGTCCATCCACCCTCTTAGCATCGCCCTCGGCTGTGACTTCGGTCCCCTACCCAGTGCCCCCTTAATCCCAGGCCCCTCTGTCCAAAGTCCAACCCGAGGACGCCCTCTTGCAGCCCCCAGCCCCTCCTCAGTTGCAGACAGGTTTCTCGCTTTCCTGGGACAGAGGCTCTGCTCTGGCCCCTGGCCCGGTCCCAGGAGGAGCACCTGGGGTAGACTCCACCCACTGCAGGGACACCTGCCCCAGCTCCCTTCTGCTTCCCCTCCTGGGAGATGAGGTCTCCCCCAGCCCATGACCTCCCCCAGGAAGGGCCCCGCACACCCCCAGCAGCCCCCTTCAGCATGAGCTCTGACGTCCTCCCAACTGAAATAAGGACGTAGTGCCCCCTTCTCCCGTTACAAGCCCACCTCCTTGAAAGAGGCAGCATCTCCACTTTCCCCTTCCTCCCTCCTTTCTTCCATCATTGCTCCACCAGACTTGGTGGGCTGTACGCCCAGCACTGGGCCGGCCCCCGGAGATCCAGCGACAGAAGCACAGGCCTAGAGACCCAGCCACTCACACTGGAGTGTCAGGAGTGGGCAAAGGGAGGTTTGCCCGCACCAACCTGCTAGAGATGGCGGCTCCCTGCAGCGAGGCCTGAGCTGGGGGCTGAAGAGCAGGAGCCAAGGCCCCTGTCAGGGCAGGAGGGCCGGAGGGCAGGTGGAGGCAGATGGAGGGCAGGCGGGTGGGCCACGGCCTGGGTGGAAGGGGCAGGAACGCCAGCCAGCCTTCCAGTAAGCTGGAAGCTAGGGAGGACACAGAGAAGGTGGGTGGGATCACAGGCACGCCTGGGAGGAGTGGGCATGCCCCCAGCTCCCAGGTCAGTGGTGGCACTGGCTTAGGCAGGACTCCCTGGAGACGGATGAGATCTGGGGTAGGGGCACACGTCAACCTTGGACCTGCAGGCCCTCAGAGGCCGGTGAAGGCTCTCTGCCCATCCTTAACCAGCCTAAGTCCTGGAGATCTCTGCTGACCAGTCTCCCGGCTCCTCTTGCGTGTAGCTCCCCCAGCCTCTCAACCCTGCCCCAGGGGGGCCCACAAGGATCCTAAAATCTTCCTCTGATCCCGACGCCGGTCCTGTAGTTCCCTCCTGCGCTCTCACATAAGACCAACGCTTCCTGCCACAGAGGCAGGTCCTCCCTGCCCACCAGGCCCACGTGCCAGCCCAGGAACCCACCTGGGCTCCTTCCCTGGGAAGCTTTGCCCAGTTCGGTCCTTACCCTGATGGACCCCCGTCCGACCCCTCCCTCCACCCTGTTCTGGCCCCCCGCCGCCCCACCCTCAGTTGTGAGACCCTTCAAGTGAGCGCCCCAGCTCAGGACTGGCATCTCGGGGTGCCCGCGGAGGGCAGGTGCGAGGAGACCCCCGCTCCAGTGGGAAGCTGGGCTGCCCGGCCGGAAGGGTGGGAGACGACTGTCCACCTTGGGCACTAACCCAGGCACGCCTTTCTGGCAATTTCTCCTACAGACGGACCTCACCGCAGGAAGGGGCGCAGAAGCGGGGCAGCTGGTGTGGGGGAGGGGGCGGGCACAGAGCACGCGTGTGGGGGCGGGGCAGGCTCCGTCCTGGCCGGAAGCACGTGGGGGGCGGGTAGAACGCACGTGAGGGGGCGGGGCTGGGAGGACGCGTGCGTGGGGCGGGGCGCACGTGGCAGGGTCCGGGGCCTTCCGCTTCTCTTCCGCGCGCACTCATGGCGTCCGGGGCTCGTGAGCCCCGCGCTGGGGTTCCGCGAGTTTCCCGGGGATGCAGGTGAGAATTGGGGAGCGGTTGCTGGAGGAGGTCAGCTGGGACGCCCTTGCCCAGGGATGCCCGGGGTGGGGTGGGGTGGGGGGCGGGCGGTGGTCCGGGCCAACTCTTTTCTAATTCAAACGAGACTGAGACCGAGCCACACCCAGCAGGGCCCGCTTGGGGCCCACCCCGACCCGCTGGTCCTTGGAGGTTGGGAGGGGAAGGAGGAGGGGTGCCAGAGGCAGGACCTACAGTGCCGTGTTCCAGGCCCTTGTCCTGCGCCCAGCCCCTCTTAAGACGTTCATCACCGCCTCTGGGTACTAGGGGCGTTTTCTGGGGTCACAACCCCGCGGTCTTGTCTTTTCTCGCGGCAGTGTCCCTTTCCCATCGAGCACCCGGTTCTGCTGCGAGGACCACCCCAGCCAGGGTTCAGGCCAGACCAGGGGGCCTCCGGTGGCGGAGGGTCCCGGCTCCCGCCTGCCACGAAACGTGCTCAGCGAGAGGGAGCGCAGGTGGGGGCCGTCGTGGGGACCACGCGGTGGGGGCGGGGGTCCGAGGAGGAGGGCAGGCCTGCGCCCACCGCCTCGTTTCAGACAGCTGTTTGGTAAGGGGACGCTGTATCGTGTTTTCAAGATAAATACAGCCCACGTGCTGGGGGAGAGCTCCCAGGGGCCACCAGTGCAGCCCTTTCTTTGACGTGAAGTTCAGAACAACTCGAGGCTGTATATTTGGGACCGGCCCCTGCTCCAGGCAGTGGTGGTCGTCTAGGCTTGGTGGTGGCCCGTGGCAGATGCCCTGCTAAGCCTGCGGATGGGGTCCAGGCTCCCCAGGGGCCAGTGCAGTGCTCTGACCTGATTCCTGAAGGGCTCACGGCTTCCTGGGGCTGCTGTCTCTTCTCCTGGCCAAGCCAGACAGCCCTACAGTCGGGGGTCCCTTCTCTCCGAGCAGGAAGCGGATCTCCTTGAGCTGTGAGCGCTTGCGGGCTCTGCTGCCCTGGTTTGATGGCCGGCGGGAGGACATGGCCTCGGTCTTGGAGATGGCAGTGCAGTTCCTCCAGCTGGCAGGCACCCTGGTGCCCGGCTGGGAGCAGCAGGCTGTGAGTCATCCTGTGACCGCTGGGTCAGCCCTCTGCGGAGGAGCCATGGGTATCTCCCTGCTCCCAGTCCCCCTCTATCCCCCAGCAGCTCCGACCACCGGTCAGCCTGGTTTCCCTGTGTCCCCGCCCCGCACGCTTAGCTCTGCTGTTTCCAGTAGACACTCCTCCATTTGCTTATCACACCTCCTTTGGGAGCCCTGGGGATGAGCTGCAGTCTCCACTTATGTCCCTCGCCCATGGTGCCAAAGCTGGCATCAGTAAAAGTCCACCCCCCCTACTCCAGGGTGGGGCACCAACTCCAGCCTCCCTCCTCCCAGTCCGGAGGACAGGGGTCTGAGCTCAGGGTGGCTCTCTGCGACCCCAGGCGGGGTGGCCAGGGACCGACCACAGCCTGCCTTTCGTGTGGGTTTTCCGGTTGACGGTCTCGGCGGCGTTTCTCCTGTTTGTCTCTGCTTCAGGTTCTCGCTTCCTCCAAGGAGCCGTGGCTCGCGTGGCAGACGGATGTCCTGCAGCTGGCCCTGGCGAGTCAGGCCCCGGCAGGCGCCCCGGACGCTAGCGCGGGAACGTCCAGTGTGATGTCAGTGTCCCCGTGGGGCCGGGGGCCGTGGGGGGGTGTATGCAGACCACTCAGAGGCTTTCCTTTTGTCTTTGCACACCGTGCAGGCATCAGACCCCCCCGAGCTGCTCGGCCACGAGTGTGGACGAAGATGAGGCCCAGTCAGGGGTGGCCGACGTGCCGGACAGGCCACTGGCCCCACCTGGTGAGCATGAGTGGGTCCCATCCTCCCTGTGTGCCGTCCCCAGCCAGGCCCACGAGGCTGCCACGATGACCGTGTCCCCCTCATGCTGGACGACCGGCTGTGGGTGGCTCCCCGGACCGTGATTGCTGGTCCCTGAGTGCCGCGTGAGGCGAGAACTGTGTGTGCCCACCCAGGCGGGGGGGATCCTGCTGTCGGCAGGGCCGGCAGGAGAGCTGGTGTTGGTTTAGCCGCTGAGTCGTGTCCGACTCTCGTGACCCCCTGGACTGTAGCCCTCCAGGCTCATTTGTCTGTAGGATTCTCCAGGTGAGAACACTGGAGTGGGTTGCCGTTTCCTTCTCCAAGCAGAGCTATGCCTCCGGGGAAAGTCCAGAGCCGCACGAGGGGCGTGGGGGTGGAGGGGTCACACGGCAGGGTGGATGGGAACATGGAGATAGAGAAGGTGGTGGGGCGTGAGGGTCCCAGGGTCTGAGCCCACCTGTTTGATCAGAGGCTGAGCGGCCACATCCTGCAGGTGGCCTGCCTGGCCCCAGGTGTCGGGTGCTTCACCTCTGGACTCTTAAAGTCTCCTGGTTGCCTGTTGGCATCTTGTTCCCGAGCCTCAAGCGTTCCCCGTGCAGGATGCAGTGGGCAGGGGCGGTGGTCTTTGTGGGGGTTCACTCTCCCTGACCCACTCCTTGCTTCCCTCGTAGAGTCGCCCGGCCTCGTCCCCCGGTCCCCAGGCCCGAGACCCCCTAAGGTCCTGAGGCCATCCCCTCTGTGGCCAGTTCGCTCGCAGCAGCCCCCCTCCCCGCTGGTGAGTGAGGAGCCTCGGAGCTGCCTAGGCCAGGCTGGGCCCCCCGCTCAGGGGGCCGACAAGGCCCTGATGCTGGACTCCAGGTGGGTGCCCAGCCGCGTGTGCACAAGCTGCCAAGGCCTCCTCCCAGCCGCGGACCCGCTGTCCAGGAGGTGTCTGCCCATCCCGTCCTCGCTGTCTGCCCGAATGGCCAGACTCTGCCATGTGGCTTTGTGGTGTGTGTGTGTGTGTGTCGGGAAACACTCCTGTCTCCCTAATTGTCGTCTGTTTTGGCTGATGGTAAATGAGTTTGTGTTTTCTGAGCTCCACCAGCTGGGGCGTGGGCCGAGAGCTCTCGGGGGGCTGGAGAGGAACTGGCAGCGGGCTGGGCTCGGCTGGGCTGGGCTAGNGAGGGTGGGTTCAGGGTCCGGCGGGACAGAGCAGCCTATCAGTAAGCTGCCTCTCGGGGCTCATGGCCTTCTCGAGGTGCAAGGCCCAGGCTCTACCTGGGACGATCGGGGTGGGGCTTCTTGTCCCGTCCAGGTCTGTGTCAGGATGTGATGTGGCAGATGGCGTGTCCTTTCTGCTGACCCCTGGTCCCGACTGGTGGCTGGGTGAGTGGGGACGCTTGGCCTGGGCCACCTTCCCCCGACCTGGGTTGGTCCTCAGGCAGGGTTGGGGACAGGCGGCTGGGACTGTGGGTAGATGGGCTCCAGCTTGCCAAGTGATGCGAGTTCCAGCGTCTGTGTCTGAGTTCTCATTCCCTTCTCTGCCCGTGTTTTGGGGGACCACTGCGGGGGGGGGGGTATTGGCAGGGGGGGTGCGTGCTTGTCGACGGGTGGGTGTCTGCGGGTGAGAGTGTGCGAGTGCTGGGTGTCGGTGGCTGCGAGTCGGCTTCGGAGCTTTCCCCCGAGAACTTGTGCCCACAGAGGCACGTGGGTGCGGGGTGAGTCGAGCGTGTGCAGAATCTTGGCCTGAAGGGGGCGCATCTCTCTAGTTCTGGCGCTTCTGGGGGTCGGGGCCGCAGGAGCCCACCTGGTCAGGGGCCCTTCTCAAGATGAGTTCAGGGGGCTTCCTGGTGGGGTGGGATAGATGGGCGAGGGGGAGGGGGCTCATCTCCTGTACGCTGACCCTACCCTGCCTGCCCTGCTGACATGTCTCGTCTGCTTCCAGGGTCCCTGGAGGGCAGAGGCAGTGGCACCCCTTCTCGGGCGGCCGCCAGGAGCAGCCCGCTGGACAGGCCTGAGCCAGGCTTCCTGGGAGACCCCGAGTCTGGCCCCAAGGAGGAGCCCCTGGATGGGACCCTGGAGCCGTGGGGCTCGGATGTGAGCTGCCCTAGCCCGGTCCTGCGGGACGAGGTGGACAGCATCTTTCCTGACTTCTTCGCCTGCTGAGACCGGGGGCCCGGGGCCTTTTCAGCAGCGCGTGCCACACACTTGGGTGTTTTATTCTGGGTTTGGGCTGCAGCTGTGGTCTAATTCCAGCAAAGGCTGCTAGGACCGCGGGGAGCGGAGGCTGAGTATTAAAAGAGGAGAGCAATTTTCCTGGAGGAAGCAAAGCTTGTGTAGCTTTTGTGCAATTAACGCGATTCGCTGGGCAGATGGCACTACTTCCGTTCATAGCGCAGGCGCGCCTGCCTGGGTTTTGTTTCTGTGAGGTTCCTGGCCTGTGGGATCTCTAAATAACACGGTCCTGGGGCTGGCGGTGGGGGCAGGGAGCCTGTGGACTAAGACTCCTGGGTCCTGGGCCTGTTCCCTGATCGGTGGGTGTGGGACTCCCTGCCCCTGTGATGCTGGTCCCAGGAGCTCCAGAGACGTCCGTGGGGGAGGCCTCTCTCTGGGCCAGGAGGTGCCAGGGCAGGAGGTCCTCTGTCTTCGAGGTGGGGGCCTTGTTGGTCCCCTCACAGGGCCTGTTGGGGGCCCAGGGCAGAGCCTGCCTGGCTTTAACGTCTGGACTCCTGGCTGTTCCTGTCCACCCCAGCATCTGGGCAGCAATGGGTTCCTGGGAAGAGTGGTCCGACCCCCCTGACCCCTAGAATGGCGGGGTGACCCTGTCCGAGTCCCACTCCCTTTTGGCCACCGTGAAGGTGGTGCCAGCCTCTGAGCCAGGCTGGCCAGGGGTCACTCCTCCCTGGCCCCTGCGTGTCCCTTTCCAGAGACATGGGGTTCTGGGCCCGTCTGGAGGAACCCCATCTGAGCCCTGGGGAGCCTTAACCTAGCACCCCAGGAGGGAGGCAGGGGGATGGGGCGGGGGCTCAGCTCTTTCAGAAGCCTGACTGAGGCCCCAGGGGGACAGGTAGAGCCACCCTGACGCTTAGACATCCTACTTAGACGCTTAGAAGGTGAGGGGTAGGACCCGCCCCAAGTGGCAGGCAGGGCTCACCGGTACTGCCTCAATCCCAGGGCTGGGGGCAGGGGGCTCCAGTGGACCCGGTGCCAGGAATGGTCCTGGGTCAGGCTTGACAGCGGTGCCCACGCTGTTGTGGGAGGAGCGTGGCAGGAAGGGCAGCCGTCAGACCCACGCCTGCCCTGGGCCCCGGGGCCCGTTCTGTGGGCCCTGGGGCCGCACACACAGCTGCTGCATTGAACACTTAAGACGAGCTCTCACCCCACCCCGGGCTGGTGGCTGGGGCCTGGCCTCCCTCGCCGCGGTTGCCTGAGGGGAGTGGAGAGAAAGCCCCCCAGCTGTGGTGGGGAGAACCCAGGCCGTCGCCTGGCCTGGTCAAGACTGCAGCACCCGAGGAGCTGGGGTCCATGAAACGGCTCGCATTCCGCCCCCTCCGTTCCTCTGGCCCTCACTGAACCAAATCACAGCTCTTGTTGGCTGCAGTTGTGTGTCTGGGGGTGAGTTTAGAAAACCAGCATGCCAGTGATTCCTGGCTAATTCTGGGAGTTGGGGAGGCCTCAGCACAAACCCCCCCACACCTCTCAAGGTGACTTGCTCTCTGTCCCCCCACGCCAGGGGGTCCTGCTTCTCTGGCCCCAGGACACAGCAGGTTCTGCCAGGCCCAGCGGGACCCCAGCACCCTGGGGCTGCACCATTTCCCAGGTCCACCCGCCTCTCAGCTCGGGCCAGTGTGGCCAGGCTTCGGTGGCAGGCAGCTGGCTGTCCTAGGAGCTGACCAGCCGCTGGCCAGCACGCTTGGTCTACCCTCCCCTGAGCCTGGCTAGCCTCCCCCGCCCCTCTGTGCTGCCCACCCTGCCCACTGAACTTGGTGGCCGCCGCGGATCCGCACTCACTGCTGTCGTGGTCGAGGTGCCTGGTGCCACCTGGGACTCCCTGGCCGTCTCTGGTCACAGGTCCTGCCCTGGAGCCTGGCCTGCCTGGGGCCTCCCCGCAGAGCTAGGAGGGGGCAGCTCTGCTGCCCCTCCGGAGGCTGGAAGGCCCCACTGTTGGGGAGGGGCTGTGGGCCCAGGGTCCCTCGCCCACCGCCAGGCTCTGACCTCCTCCTGGCAAGGACACACCCATCCGTGAGGAGGGACCCCTCAAACTCACGCTCCAGTGAACACAGGGAGCCCAGCAGCCCTCCTGATGGGGCGCGCTCTTAGGTGGGGACCAGCGTGGGTGAGGGAGGCTCAAAGAGGTCTCTGATGGGGGAAGCTGGGAGCGGTCAATGACTGTCCTGGGAGTCCGAGTCGTGGTCCACGTGTGGGGCGTCGGGGCTGAGCCCGCTCGGGCCTGCGGAGTGCGGTCCCGTGAGGGGGGCCCGAGCCAGCAGCCGTGGAGGGGCGGGAGTGCCGTGTGCTGGGCTCACTGCGTCCCTGCCTGTTTTCCCAGACGTGGGGTGAGGCTTGGCAGGTCATGCAAGGTCGTGCCCGGAGTGCTGGTGGTGGGTTGGGTCCCAGTCCCCTCCTGCGGCACTGCCCTCCCTGTCTTCCCCAACCCCCAGGGTGCTCTCCACAGGTGGCCAGGGCTCCGCTGGCTGCCTCTGCTCCTGTTTCCAGTCCAGGTGGGTCTCCTAACAAGGCCACTGTGCTTCCAGATGTCATTTCCTGACGGCTCCACGTCACAGCATCATACTTAGGACACGGCTGACTTCCAGACCTGGGGTTTTACACCTGATCGCCCGGGTCTGTGCTTGGCAGCATCCTCCATGGGGGCCCCATGGTGAGAGCACCCCCACCCCCACCCCCAGAAGAGGTCCCTCCTAACCAGGAGCTCCACAACAATCACATTGCCCAGGGCCCTGGGCAGGCCCCTTGACTCGAGCTTCCCGAGATGCGAATTTTCTGCAGGATCGAAAGCTCTTCCAGGGGCTGGAAGGGCCGCCTCCTGAAACACATCTGTCTGAGGCCCCTGCAGCCCTGTGTCCTTGCCCACATGGCAGACAGCTTCATCTTTGTCCCGGAGCCACAGTGACCTCAGCCACATGCGAGCATTCATGTCAAGAGTGCCCAACTTGCTCGGCTGCCACAGAGACGGCAGAAGCCAGGGCAGCGCTGAAGATGCCAGCCCGCGGGCGGCTGTGTAATAGCGCAGCCAGATCTGCGGCAGCACGGAGCCGCGCCGGGGCGGGTGGTCAGGAGGAGGCCAGCCGGTCGGGGGCTGGCCGCGGGCCTTCCCCGGGTGTTGGTCCAAGTGGCCCCGCAGGACCCCAGCCCGGCGCCCCTCAGGTCCATCCCTGGGGCTCCCTCAGCCCTCCACCTTGCAGGTGTCCCGCGTGCGTCTCATCCGGCCCTGCCTGCTGACCGCAGGCTGCCCGCCCTCACCCCCGGCCTGTGCGTGAGGCCGGTCTTGTATCTGCAGGTGGCTCCCCCTCTAGTGGGTGGTTTCCGGAGGGGCTGGTCCGCCCGCGTTGCTCTCGTCCTCCCAGAAAGAAGCCTTTGGTTGGCTCGGACCTTGCTCTCTCCTCCAGCGGTGTGTGTGTGAGCGTGGCAGGCCTGCAGGTGGCCGAGCCACTGACCCGGTGGACCTTAGACCAGAACATGAAGAGCTGGCTTCTGCATAGAGACACCTGCCACCAACATGCATATGGCTTCCCGGGGTCCCCAGCACGGCTGTTGAAATGGCTGTCACACGTGGTGGAGTCTCATACTTTCATTTTAGATGTATTTGAAATTCACAAAAGCAGTATCACAGGGCATATCTTTTTGTGTCTAGTTATTCTGTGTGGAATGTTGTGTTTGTGAGATTCATCCACATTATTTTTAAGTTAATTTTTATTATGATATGACATACCTAACGTACAGTTTACCGTCTCAACCACTTTTTACATATGTATATGTATTTTTAAATTGGAGGATAATTGCTTTACAATGAAAGTTGCAGTTCTAGGCTATTAAGCACACTCACATCATTGTATAACCATCATCACATCTGTCTCCCATCTTTCTCATCTCCCCAGACTGACCCTCTGTCCCCACCAAAACCTGTCTCTTCTCTCTTCGCCCAGCCGCTGGTCCCTGCCATCTACACTCTGTCTCTATGGATTTGACTCCTCTAGGGACCTCTTGGCCTGCAAGGAATTCCAGCCAGTCCATCTGAAAGGAAGTCAGTCTTGAATGTTCATTGGAAGGACTGATGCTGAAGCTGAAACTCCAATACTTTGGCCACCTGATGCAAAGAACTGACTCGTTTGAAAGGACGCTGATGCTAGGAAAGATTAAAGGTGGAGGAGAAGAGGGTGACAGAGGAGGAGGTAGTTGGATAGCATTACCGACTCGATGGACATGAGTTTGGGTAAACTCTGGGAGTTGGTGATGGACAGGGAAGCCTGGCATGCTGCAGTCCATGGGGTTGCAGAGAGTCGGACACGACTGAGCGACTGAACTGGACTGAGGGACCTCTTACAGGCCCTGGTGGCTCAGACGGTAAAGAAGCCTGTGTCAGAATTTCTCACTTGTTATGTCTGAATGATATTCCATTGTGAATATTTTATGAACGAATATTGTTATATGCAACATTGGTTCACCTGTTTATCTGTCTATGGACATCTGAGTTGTTTCAACCTTTTGGTTGTCGTGACTAGTGCTGCTATGAACCTGGGTGTGCAAATATCTTTTTGGGTTCCTGCTTTCCATTATTTTGGGTGTGTACTCAGATGTGTAATAACGGGATCAAATAAAAACTCCGTTTAATTTTTGTGAAACTGCCATGCTGCATCCTGCATTGGCTGCACTGTTCTTCATTCCCACTGATGAGTGCGGGTTCTAGTTTTCTCCACGTTGTCATCGACACTTGTGTTTGTTTTTTTAATAGCCGCCCCAGAGAGTATGAGGTGACAGCGCTTTGTAGTTTTGATTTCAATTTCCATCATAATTATTGGTCTAGACCCTATTTTAAGTACTTATTGGCCATTTGTATGTCTTCTTGGGGAAAATGTCTACTCAAGTCCTTTGCCCGTTTTTGAATTTTGCTGTTGCTGTTATTGAGTTGTAAAAGATCTTTGTGTATTCCGGATATTAGTCTCTTATCAGATACAGAACTTGTGAAAATTGTCTCCCATCCTGTGTTGCCTTTTTGCGTGTGTGTGTGTTGCCTTTTGAATTTAACACAGTTCAGTTTCTTTTCTATTATCTGTGCTTTTGGTATCATATTCAAGAAATCC